TGGCTTTTTGAATATTTGAATCGATTGTTATACTCCCTCCGTCCGGAAATACTTGTCGTACAAATGGATAAAATTGGATGTATCTAGAATTAAAATACGTCTAGATGTATCCATTTCCCCGATAAGTATTTCCGGACGGAGGGAGTACTTGTTTATTAGGGAATCTTCAGTATGTAGGCATCAAATTTTTGGCATAAAAAATAATCCGCGGACAGTCCATAGACATCTCCTAGTTGCCTGCAAAAATCATGATACCTAACGACGGCCTATCTCCTATGATTGTATGCCTCAATTTGTTTATGAAATGTATTTTTACATATTCTTTGATTTGCCATTTAAATGGTTCAAAGATGCATATCACAATGCAAACAATCATTCAAAGATAAATATTATAATTCAAACATTTTTAAAAAATAATACAATACAAATATAAATATAAATTTATTTTATTTGAAGATAGTCTTTTATTGATTTCGTACACTACTTTGACTATGTCCTTGACCTCCCTAACACCACCATCGTTGGCGATGCTTAAAAGAAGGCCGATAAAAACATTGTCCATCGGGACGTGGAGTTTCTACACCCAGAAGCAAATGCTCCTGGTGTGAACAGTATAATAAAAAAAATCAAAAAAATGTCAAAAAATTCTGAATTTTTTTTGTGGCATACTTATATAAATGTTTGTTGTGCACGTAAAATTTCATCGCAAAATCACATTGATGGAAGGTGTGGTAAAAAATAAAATCGATGCTCTGAAAATGTTACTTACAAAAGCATTTTGGAGCTCTGATTTTGTTTTTTTTGGCACGACTTCCACGAATGTGATTTCGTGATGAAAATTTTCATGCACAAGAAACACTTGTGTAAGTATGTCAAAAAAAATTCAGAATTTTTTATTTTTTATTTCTTTTTTTTTGATTTTACTGTTCACACCAGTAGCATTTGCTCATGGGTGTAGAATGGTACTTTCGTGTCCATCGCTGCTTTATCCCAACAAACTGTAAGGTATGATTGGTTCATTCTTATATATTGACCACGTGTTAGGCGTACTTGTTATTATAGATGTTTATATTTTATGCTTAAGACGTGCTCACATGTTTAGATATTAGACCGACTAATGGTAAGGTGACTGAAAAATTATTTTGGGTTGGTCATATTTTTCAGTTAACATAAGGCCCCGCCCCACAGTAAGCAGCCGTTGCACGATGTCTCCTGGTGTACTTGATTAAAATCCTCATTTTACCACTTTCAAAGGTGCTAAACAAAATCCTCGTAACCAGGCCGAAACAACGCTAAGAGCAACTCTAGCAAACTCCGCATAACGCGCGAACCCGCATAATTACGGCAAGTATATGGGCTTGGCCCAATTTTCTGGCAAGAGCAGAGCCCGTATACTCGTCCGGCCCGTAAATTTTTTGCCGCAGCCCGCAAACGTTACCCCCGAAGCAGTATAACCGCGGGTTTGCGGGGCAGATGCGGGTCGAAATCATATCCCCCTGCAGTCGCGTTTCCCCCAGATTCCACACTACGCCGCTCGATTTCTCGCCACCGGTAAGCGTGCGAAAGCCATGGACGGCTCTGGGGATGAGGCGGAGCGCCGCCGCCGCGCCAGATCTGACGCCGCGCGCAAGTGGGGGGCGCGTCGGTGGCTGAACCGCGGTAGCCGGCCGCCGCCGGCGTTCGACTGCCACGAGCTTGAGGACTTCGATAGTGAGCTCGCCCGCCGCCGCCACGCCTCCTCCATCAACTGGTCCACGGGGAGCTCTACATCGACCTCGACTCCTCCAGCTCCGATTGAGCGCCACTGCTGGGCAGCTACCGCACGAGCTCCGGTGAGCTCAATTTTGTGTAGTGGTACAGTAGCGTAGGCCTGGTCTAGCTAGGGTGAACTTATATGTAATATATGCATGTTGTGTATGAACTTATGTGAAGAAGAACTAACTATGTGAAGAAGAACTATCTATGTGAGCGAGCTCCGACGAGCTTTTGCTTAAATTTCTCGCGCAAAACAAGTTTTTTAAAATTTTACGGGTTGGGATACAGTTTCTGTTCTGTCGCCGCGATTTTGAGCCTGCATAAGCACCCCCGTGCGAACTTCAAATACAGTTTACAGTTCGGCGAAATGCAGGGTCTGCTAGAGATGCTCTAACACTCCATGCATCACGTAGATGCATCCAAGCTTTGCATATGTTGGATGATGCTACATGTCTTGGGATATATAAATGCACCCTTTCAGTTTGACTCGCAATGAATTTTCAAACATGGAAGGTTTAAACAAATCTCCATTTTTCTACGTAACATAAAACAACGAAAGAATAACATTATACTAGAAGCCTGTAACATCAGCACATGGGAGATAAAAATGATTTTATTCATATTGGTCAATATGTATTATGAATAAATAAGTACATACTCCAGAAAAAAACATTTAGTTGGAGTCATTTTTTAGAGGGGCACTTGGTCCTATACAACCACAAAATAGAAGACCCACCAAATACCCGCGCTTGGCCGGAAACATAACAAAAACTGATAAAGTAACTAATAAGACGTAAGACAAAACAAAGCAAATTTGGCCCATCATCCATCTTGATCCAATGGCCCAACCAACTTCTTCCACCATCCTTCTTATGCCCGTATACAAAAACGAAACCGGTATGGAGTTTTGTAAAGAATAATAGATTAGTGGCATTGGTATTACCTTTAGGATAAGACAATATGAAATAAAAACAAAAATAAAATCAAAAGAATGAAGTTTTGTAATGAAGAATGAATTAGTGTCATTGGTATTACCATTTAAATAAAATAAAATGAAATAGAAACAAATAACGAAGTTTTCTAAGAAAATGAAATAGTGGTAATACTAAGTAGTACTCCCTCCGTCCGAAAAAGCTTGTCCTTCAAATAGATGTATCTAGCACCAAATTAGTGCTAGGTACATCTATTCGAAAGACAAGCTTGGGACAAGCTTTTTCGACGAAGGGAGTAGGTTCTAAGAATGAATGAATTAGTGGCATTAGCACTACATTTTAAAACAAAGAAAATATAAAACATTAAATCAAATAAGGACTTTTTACAGTTCGCCGAAATTTGCAATTTTTTATAATATGCAAGAATAAGCATATAACAGTGAAAATTTCACAACAAAATTTTCTAAGCAGGAATTAATTAGTCTTTCAAGAATAGAGAAAATAGAATAAAAATTAAACCAAAGTAAAAATAAAGAAGTATTATAGGGAACAATGAGTTAGTGGCATTTGTAATACCCTTTTAGGATAAAATAATATGAAATAAAAACAGAAATAAAAACAAAAATAAAAATCAAAATAATGAAGTTTTGTAAGGAAGAGTGAATTAGTGACATTGGTATTACCCTTTAAGAAAAAAGAAAAAGAGATAAGCACTCAAGCAAAATAATTAAGTTTTTAAACAAAAAAAAGGAAACAGTGGTAATACCAATGAGTAGTAGTTTCTAAGAAGGAATGAATTAGTTGCATTGGTATTACACTTAAAAAGAAAGAAAATATAAAAATTAAATGAAATAATGAAAAAATTTGCACACAATTTAAATGGAAATTGTGATTTCTAAAAAAATAAAGCAAGAATAAGCATATAACAATGAAGTTTCGCAAAGAAAAAAACAAGTTTCCTAAGAAGGCAGGAATCTAAAACGTCTTAGGCCTTGTACAATAGAAGATGCTTAGGGAGTTGCTTAGAAAAATAAACCGAGTTTTTCTAAAGCACCGGCGCCTATTTTTATAGAAGAGACACTTAGTTAAGCGTCTATCCTGTACAAATAAGCATCAGTGCTTAAGAAAAGGCTGGTTTATTTCTCTAAGCACCACCCCTAAGCACCTTGCATTGTACAAGGCCTTAGATCAGTTTACAAAGGGAAATGGCATTGTTATTGCCTTAAAGAGGAAAGAAAAATAATAAAATCAAAATAATGGTTTTTACAAGGAAGAACGAATTAGTGGTAGTGGTATTACCCTTAAAGAAGAAGAAAAATGGAATGATTTTTTTTTAAAAAAGCGAGGCTTCCGGGCACTGGTCCTTAGAGGCACGTGCACAAAGATTTTCCGGTTGTCATCGACAAGGTCAAGGCGGCTCCGGTATAGGAGCAGCGACTGCGGCGCATCGGCGGCTCGTTCTGAAAGCGGTAGTGGTCGTTCGGTGGTCTCAGAATCTCAATGTAAGTTTTTATTATGTTTGAGGTGCTATGTTCTTTCAATGAACTTTGATAATAGACCTAGATCATTTTCGCAAAAAAAAAAAAAAACTAGTGGCACTGGAATACCTTTTAAGGAGAAAACCCAAAATGGTTCCGCGTTGAGCTAGTGCGTTGTGCCTGGTGTTGTAAAACTGTGTTTGGGCCTGTTGCCCTTTCTTCTCTGAATATAGATTCGCATGCTTGTGCTTATTCTAGAAGAAAAAGGACTAATTGCCGGACAAATTTACATTCATGACACGTAGGAGTGCCAATAGATCTAGCCGGCGAATTCCACGAGACCACTGCCACATAAGCCTGTCAGTGGCGCCATGGCTTAGAACCGTCAGGGCGTCATGCCAGCGACCACCTCCGATTGACCATGAAAGATAGGCAAAGCAAGGCATGCTTCATGCGCAGGAAGCCAGAAAGTTCTTCTTTCGCCCAAAAGAACAATGGTTTAAGCCTTAGTAATAAGCAGATAAATGCGTTTACGGCCGGCTGTCGCTTTAGTACGACGAAGCGAAGAACAGTGGCCATAATGCGAAAAAAAGGGTGTTGCCAATGAATGAACAGAGAGAGATATTTCCGACCAAGTAATCGGAATAATCTGCTGCTTTTTGCTGCAACTTGACCGAGAGTGCAAGACAGTGACGGGCGGTTCTTTTTCCCTCCTCCATCAGAATCCCTCATGAAGATGGCCGCTTAACCACTCCGCACCATGGGTTAACTAGGCGCCTTAATCTGGCCAGGCCGGCAGCAAACGAAGTCAGAGACGGCAGCCAGCAGAGCGGCGATGGCAGCGAGCATGGTGGGAGCGGCGGAGGGGAAGCTGGCGCTGGGAGACATGAGGGTGCTCAAGCCATTGGGCCATCTGCTGGTCGGGCTGGTGCTGTACTGGGTGGCCGAGGAGATGACGGTGCCTGTGCTGGTCGACGTCACCACCGCCGCCCTCTGCCCTGGCGACGGTAGCACCTCCTGCCCGGAGGCCATCTACCTCACCGGCCTCCACCAAACGGTCAGCTCCATCCCCTCTCTCCTTACAGCCACGGTCAACCATGGTTCTTGCTTTGAGTTTTGATCGTTGGGTTGGGGTTGCGTGCAGGTTGGAGGCATTTTCAGGGCGGTGGGATTCACTCTGATGGGGCAGCTGGCCGACGAGTATGGCAGGAAGCCTCTCCTCATCCTCGCCGCCGGCACCTCCATCATCCCTTACAGTAACTACACGATTCATTTTCCTTCCTACCTTCGTTCCTAAATACTATAAGTCTTCGTAGAAATTTCACTATGGACCACATACGAATGTATGTAGATGCATTTTAGAGTGTAGATTCATTCATTTTGCTCCGTATGTAGTCTATAGTGAAATCTCTACAAAGACTTATATTTAAGAACGGAGGGAGTATTTTACAAGATTTCTACTCCTTTTTGAATTAGCAATCAGTCTTTCATAACTCTTGCTTGTTACAGGTGTGCTTGCTCTGAGCAGCACCAAGGTCGCCGTGTATGTCTACCTTGTCACACGCACTCTCTCATTCATGATCGGCCAAGGAACCATAACCTGCCTCGCATTGGCGTACACGGTATGTGCTCGACGGCGATTCCGGTTGCCAAGAGTCCAAAATCTGACATTTTTCTCTGCCAAATTAGGCGGATTTGGTAGAACCGTCCAAGAGGGCCTTCGCGTTTGGCTGCATGACCGGGATCCTGTCGGCTTCGCACTCCCTGGGGAACGTCTTCTCCAGGTTTCTGCCCGAGCAGTGGATTTTTCAGGTACGTTGTCAACTAGCTGAAACTTGCTGCGCTTCATCGGCATCTGTTTGCTGGCTTCATTTTCAGTTTTACAAACTCTGGAACGGTTTGTTTATGCGTTGGCAGGTCTCGGTTCTTCTGCTGGTCTGTTCCGTGGTCTACATGAAGATTTGTCTGGTTGAGACGCTTCAGAAAGCTCCCTCTGCTTCGTGTCAGCGTTTGTCCTTGTCGTCTTTGGTTCTCGGTTTGCCGCAGCAGCGTTGGGAGTCTATCAAGGACAACATTAGCATGATCAAAATCAAGTAAGGGACTATTTTATATGTACTTCTACATAAGCAATACTATTTTCTACTGTGCAGTAAAAAAAATTAAAGGTATGGTTGAGTAATTTGCTGGTCCTTTTTATAATCTAAAAACATGCATAACGCTAATGTTTTCAAGTAGGAAACGGTTTGCAACTTCTGATAAAATTAATTCTCAAAAAAACTTCTGATACATTTTTCTGACCTTACCTAATGTTGATGTTTTGCTAGCAACACACTTAAGCGAATCACATACATTTCCTTCTTCTACGAGTTAGGCATGATTGGCATCAGCGATGTTCTACTGGTAATCATACGTCTCAGTTCTGTTTTACTCTACTATGGTGTTCCAAAAACTTAGGCCAGTTCATCTTCATCTCATGTTGTGCAGTATTACCTGAAGCTGGTATTTGGATTTGACAAGAATCAGTTCTCCGAAATTCTAATGGTGGTTGGAATTGGTTCAATCTTTTCTCAGGTACTGTACTACTTTATATTAAAGTTAGTACAAAGTCGAGACACTTATTTTGAGACGGAGGGAGTACTTTAGAATCACAAGGTGTCCGTTCCGGTGCATTATCCCATTGATAACAGTTGCAGTTTGTAGTAATTTTCTCAAAACTGCAGATACTGATACTCCCAGGTGCTATCCATGCAATTGGCGAGAAGGGAGTCCTGTGCATTTCAATATTTGCATCTGTTGCTTATGTGAGTATTATACCAAGTTTATTTCCATTAATATCATCAGCTGCGGTGTTACACAATTTAACAACGGATTCTGAAAACTATTTATTCAGGCTATGCTGTACGGCTTGGCCTGGAGTTGGTGGGTTTTTTTTTGGAAAAGGGGGACTCCCCGGCCTCTGCATCAGGAGTGATGCATACAGCCATCTTATTAATGAAGCAACAAAAAGTGCGTACAAAGTTCCATAATCTCTAACTGAAAACAATAAAAAGCAGCCCACACAGAGCGCAGAAGGCTAGAAACACTAACTAGCCAATAAAGGAGCCACAACCGGCTGGCTATATAGATAGGGAAACTAATTGCCTATCCTATTACATGACCGCTATCCAAACCGGTTGAAGATATCCCGAGCAAACATCTCCCACCGGGTAGACCCAGTAACCAAATGCTCCCTAGCCTCCATCGGAGTGAGTAATGACCATGAACGGATCAGCGCCGTAGCTCGGAAGATAACCTGCAAAAAATGAATTCGTGATGATCTGTTAAAAACCAAATCATTTCTGCACAGCCAGATGGTCCATATTAAAGCGCAGACTCCAACCCGAATATGTCTTGCTATTGTAGAGTCAAACCCATATAGCCAATTCCCAAATAAAGCATTAACAGTATTCGGTGAGTTATATTAAAAGCAATGTGGACTGTCTGCCAAAGAACCTTGGCCAGCGGGCAATCAAAAAAGAGATGTTTAATTGTCTCATCTCGATCACAGAAACTACACCTAGTAGGTCCTGTCCAATTACGCTTTATTAAGTTGTCCTTTGTTAGAATAACTTGTTTATGAACAAACCACATAAACACTTTTATTTTCAAAGGTACTTTGACATCCCAGACACTCTTGGAAGTTGGAATGGAGCTTGTATTAATAACATCAGTATACATTGACCTGACTGTAAATACCCCAGACGTAGTCAACTTCCAGCGTAATTTATCCGGTTGGTCAGAAAGTTGAACCTCCATTAGTCTCCTAACTAACTGGAGCCAAACCTCCCAACGATTGCCCGCTAATGACCGTCTAAACTGAATATTAAGGGGGATAGATTGAAATACCGTTGCCACGAGCACCTCACGTCGTTGAGCAATACGATATAAAGACGGATAGTGAATGGCCAGGGGTGAGTCGCCCAGCCAAGCGTCCTCCCAGAAACGTGTAGTGGCCCCATTGCCAATGACAACTTTTGTCCTATTGAACATTAATTGCTTGACTTTCATGAGCCCTTTCCAGAAAGGCGAATCCATCGGCCTAACTGTTACTTGGGACAAAGTCCTAGTCTGGAGATACTTGCTGCGAATGATTTGCGCCCACATAGCTTCCGAACCGCTAGCGAGCTTCCACAACCACTTACTAAGAAGGCATCTGTTCTTAACCTCAAGATTCTCAATGCCAAGCCCGCCTTGGTCTTTGGGTCGACAGATGATATCCCACTTAGCAAGCCGGTATTTTCTTTTAAGCTCATCACCCTGCCAAAAGAAGCGTGATCGATAGAAGTCCAGTCTTTTCCTCACTCCCACTGGAACCTCAAAGAACAATAAGAGGAACATAGGCATACTCGTGAGTACCGAGTTTATCAAAACTAACCGGCCTCCATATGACATGAGCTTACCCTTCCAGCAGCTCAGTTTCTTTTCAAATCGATCCTCGATACACTTCCACTCTCTGTTTGTTAGCCTACGATGATGAATCGGAATGCCAAGGTAGGAAAAGGGTAGACTTCCCAACTCGCACCCAAACAGTTGCCTATAAGAGTCCTGTTCGTCTTTAGCCCTACCAAAGCAGAACAATTCGCTCTTATGAAAATTAATCTTTAACCCCGATAATTGTTCAAAGAGGCATAACAACAACTTCATATTTCTCGCCTTGGCCAAATCATGCTCCATGAAGATGATTGTATCATTAGCGTATTGAAGAATGGATACACCTCCATCCACCAGATGAGGTACTAAACCACCCACTTGACCATGGTCTTTAGCCCTTCCGATCAATATTGCTAACATATCCACCACGATGTTAAACAAAATGGGGGACATTGGGTCGCCTTGCCTGAGGCCCTTATGAGTCTGGAAGTAATGACCGATGTTGTCATTGACTTTAATACCCACACTCCCTTTTTGCGTAAAAGATTCAACCTGATGGCGCCAAGCCTCATCAAAACCTTTCATACGCAATGCCTGTTGAAGGAACGGCCACTTGACCTTATCATACGCCTTCTCAAAATCCACCTTAAAAATTACCCCATCTAATTTTTTAGAGTGAATTTCATGGAGCGTTTCATGAAGGACAACTACTCCTTCGAGGATGTTTCTGTCCGGCATGAAAGCAGTTTGGGATTGCTGTACCACAGAAAGTGCAATCTGTGAGAGCCTGTTTGTCTCGACCTTGGTGAAGATTTTGAAACTAACATTGAGAAGGCAAATTGGCCTGAATTGCTCAATTCGCACAGCCTCCGTTTTCTTAGGAAGCAATGTGATAGTTCCAAAATTCAACTGAAATAATTGAAGCTGTCCAGAGAAAAGATCATGAAACATAGGTAACAGATCCCCCTTAATAATCTGCCAACACCTTTTATAAAACTCCGCCGGAAACCCATCCGGACCGGGAGCCTTGTTGTTTTCCATTTGTGCAATCGCATCAAACACTTCCTTCTCCGTAAATGGGGCTAGCAAGATATCATTTTCGACAGCCGACAGTTGAGGAACATCCTCAGTCCGAGACTCATCCAAAGTTACACAATTAACCTCTGGTGGTCCAAATAACTGCCTATAATACTCGGTGATGTAAGTTTTTAGATTATCCTGCCCAACAATAGTACCCTCATCCTGCTCAAGTTGGAAGATTCGTTTCTTACGGTGCTTGCCATTAGCAATGAGGTGAAAGAATTGAGTATTAGCGTCCCCTTGAACCACTTTGTGGACCTTGGCTCGCAACGCCCACTTCAACTCTTCCTCACGGAGAAGTTCTTTCAGCCTCTTTTCAGCCTCATGTTTAACCTGGATCTCAGCAGGCAGCAGAATCATAGATTCGGCTTTAGTATCGAGGGCCTGTATAAGAGAAAGGAGTCTATCCTTATCAATCTTATACACCCCACTTAGGTGCTTAGCCCACCCCCGTAAGAAGCTTCTTAGATGTCTTATTTTATTCTGCCAACGCTCGACCGCCGTCGTACCCCCGACCCCCTTAGCCCATTCCCTGGCAACAAGGTCTAAGAACCCTTCACGTTCGAACCAGGCCATCTCGAAAGAGAAGGTGTTTTTGTTTCCCACATAGTTGGACTCCCCGGAGTCGACAAACAGTGGTGTGTGATCTGAAATTCCCCGCGTTAAAGCTTGTACCGTCACCAGAGGGAACTTCTGTTCCCACTCCACGCTGGCGAGAACTCGGTCAAGCTTTTCATAAGTCGGGTTTGGCAACGCATTAGCCCAAGTAAACTTTCTACCAGAAAGTTCAATCTCCCTCAGGTCCAAACTCTCAATAATAGTATTGAACATAAAGGACCATCTCCCGTCAAAGTTATCATTATTCTTCTCCTCTTTCCTCCGAATGATATTGAAATCACCCCCGACCAACATTGGAAGCTGTTCGGACCCACAAATTCGAACAAGATCCGCCAGAAACTCCGGTTTAAATTCGGGCTGTGCAGCTCCATACACCGCCACCAAAGCCCAGTCGAACCCATCAACTTTTGACCTAACCCGAAACTTAACCGCAAAGTCTCCCATTACCACACTCCTGACCTCAAGGGAATCGCATCTCACTCCCAACAAGATGCCTCCCGATCGTCCACGTGGCGGTAGGCAATGCCAGTCGAAATCAGCACCACCCGCAAGAGAGGAAAGAAACTGCGGAGAAAAATTGTCTCTTCCAGTTTCGGAGAGAGCAATGAAATCTAATCTGTGCTCCAAAGATGCCTCAGCAAGAAACCTTCTTTTAGCCAAGTCCTTGAGACCTCTGCTATTCCAAAAGATTCCTTTCATAATTCATCATGGAATTTTTTTGCCGTACGAATCCTAGCGCTTCTACGTACCGCGGATGCTGGATACACCTTCCGCTTCCACTTATGTTTAGATTTGTCATTGTCCACCATCCAGTCCTCATAACCGGGCAGTGGTGGTTGAAGGACCTCAACCTCTACGTTGGTCTCCTCCTCGTCTGGCTCATTACAGGATGGTGCAAGGTCCGCACACAAGGTGTCTAGCACTCTCACTCCCAACGCATCAAACTCAGCGTCAGTCATAGGACGCACAGCCGCTAGGTTTCGAATGGTTTCTAATGCGCGATCTGCCTCCAGATCCAAAAGATCATTAACCGAGTTGGAAATTTCAGCATTATTATTCCCTAGCGAAATCCCTACTTGATTTGCATTATGAATAATCTCATCCGTAGAAAAATGCATAATGGAATTAGATAAATTGACCGACATACCGGAAGTGGCCTCGATACCACGAAGCTTGGCCGCCCTCGTAGCGCACCTCTGCTGCATGTCGTCAACCTCCGGATGATCCAGGAGACGGGAACTCATCCGCCGCCCCTCGGAGACCGGATCAGGGATTCCGCCAAATGCAACAACCTCCTCCCGAGAGGCACCAGTCGCGAGAGGAAGTGCCGGACGGCTCCCACCTCCGGCGATCAGGGGGCCAGGGGTAGAAGGTGCCGGGACCACCTGTCCAAGCACTCCTTCCGCCCCGACCCTCAGTGCTGTTGGAGTCGTCATCCCGCCAGCCGAGGATGAGGGATGGCCCGGGATCACCCTCCCTGGACCCCCTCCAATCACGGCAGTCGAAACCGCCTCCGTCGAAGCCGAAGGGGAAGAGTGTGGGGCCTCCTGCCCCAGACATCCTCCCTCAGAGCCGGCTAGCGCCAGCGCAGCAGGCGTTGCCGGGGCCACCTGCCCCAGACAAACACCCACCCGCCCAGCAGAAGAAGCAGCAGCCAGCCGCCCTCCCGACGAGGACTCGTCCCTCTCAGGAACCCTGATCGAAGCCATCAAGTGATGAGGGATCGAGGTCTCCTGCCTGCGACCCCCCTCCAAGCTCGTAGTCATTACCTGCATCTCAGACGTGCCAACAGTATCCGAGGTAGGCGAGATCACTATCTCCGGACCTTCCTCCACTCCAGGAACCTCCACTCTCGGACCCTCAAGGTCCAACGCAGGTAAGGAGTGCTCGAAAACCTCAGAAGACTCCACCCGCTCACTCCATAGTCTCGGGGGAGTTGGTGGGTACGTACTTACCACATATTTTTAGCTCAGTTCACTGATGTCCAAACAGATTTGCGGTGACTCATGACTACAAATGTTTCTCTCTTTCATTATAAATTAACCTTACAGGCTCCATATTTTGCTTCTTCACTGGGTATCATCTATTGTCTGGTCAAACCGGCTGTAAGTCATTGCCCTCTGTTTTCACCTATATACTGTAAATGTAAATACAAAATAAAAGTTTGCAGCAGTTAATTCAGTGATTGTGTAACATTTTTATACTACACTTCAATAATATATATAAGTTTAACATAGAACTTCCTTTTAACTTGTACAGACTTATGCGATCATCTCTAGGGAAGTAGTCTCAGCTGACCAGGTATATTTAAACCAATGAAACATTTTGCATCCATCTGAATATCCAAGCCTGATGCCTAACCGCCTAGTTTTCCTCTACTGTTGATGGCTTTGACCTTTGCAGGGAAAGGCACAGGGATTCATCGCAACAGTGAAATCCACAGCTATACTGATGGCCCCATTGTTCATGAGCCCTCTAACCTGTAAGCCAGCACTTCTCTGCCATGTCTTTTTTTGAAAAGGAGGTTGAAACCCCCGGCTTCTGCATCATTGTGATGCAGACAACCATTTTTTATTAATTATTAAATAGAGTACAGAACAAGCCAGCAGTTCTCTACCATGTCTTATATGCATGAATTATGGTTTGATCTCCACCTTTTCCGCAACTCGGTTCCAGCCTACTTCATTTCGGAAGAAGCACCCTTCAACTGCAAAGGTTTCAGTTTTCTTGTCGCGGGTTTCTTCCTGGTCAGCCCTATTCCTCTTTTCTTTTAGACAATGATTCCTCTTCCTCTTGGAATGGATAGTATGTTCACAAAAATGTGCAACAACATATCTCAAGTACAACATTTTTACAGGCAATATCATTGCCATTTGCTTGGATGCTTGATCCAGAAAGCAAAGACAAACTCATTGCAGTTGCAGATCAAGACCAGCTCTATCAGGAAGCAGTTCAAGCACCACTGTTGGCACAACCATGATGAAGTTCTTGAGGAACTGTGCATCTGAAGAATGCTTATTTGCAGCTTCAGCTGATAACTAGAGCTTCTGCGCACAAATTAGCTTCAGATTATAGTAGTATTAAATATTGATCTCCCCTGCGTGCCTCTTCCTTAGCCCTAGCTACTTACCCTTTTCGGTTTTCCAAGTATTTATTTTCAGGGAGTTTTTGTTTTCAGTCATACTCGGTTTTCTGGTTGCCGGCTAGCTATTGTAGCTGGTTTGTACAGTTTTTACTCCGCCTTAGCTTGGACGGAAATTGGCCATGCATGTCACCATATGTATAATTATTCAATCCAATCATAGATATTTCGTACCAAATTATATCAACGTATACATATTTGTGATCGATGATTCATTACAACCGATTGCAATGTGCAACTAGTGGTTACAGTCAGGGTCTGTCCTGGTATGTTGGGGGCGCTGGGGCAAGAGAACGATGAGGCTGTTATCTGCACATGAAAATTTCAAGTTTGGATGGCTTTCAATAATAGGCTAGGTGTTTAGTCATCTTATCCTATTTTTGACGGTTGTGGCACCTTTTATCTTTATTGCTTTTCTGCTCCTCATGCGAGCTTGTACCGAACTACAAACCTTGTTGGGTGTTTGCTTAATAATAATATGGCTGCATGCATCTTATTGATGCAGAGGCCGGGGTAATCCTTCTTTTCTAAAAAAATTGATTCTAGATTTCCCGTTTCCCGTCTAAGGAGGATCAGCTGAGAATCCTCAAGTTCGGTATGAGCAGGGTCACGGGCACTAGTTTTGTGTTGCAGTTTGATGAGTGGAAAAAGAAGGAGCCGCATGGCACGCCGTTAACTCAGATTTGGGTTCGTTTCTCTGGGGCGCCATCTGCTCCCCTGGACAGCTTTTTGGTTACGTGGAGCCTGGGTTCTTTGATTGGCAAGACTGAGCAGGTGGATATGCAGTCCACACGTGCTCACGAGGTGGCGCGTTTGCTTGTCAGTGTTGCTAATATTGAGTTCCCGCCGGACAAACGCATGAAGGCGTTTTGTATCAGTTGGATGTTGAGTATGAGGATCCTAACTTTTCAGTGAGTTTGAGGATGATAATCCCATGGACACCTCTAAGGGAGGAGGTGCTTCGGGGAACCAGGATGACAGTGCTAAGAGTGATGATGATAAGGCCAAGGGGCCTTCGGGTCCGTCTGATTCTGGTGACACCGCTCCTGTTAGGTCAACTGGTGCGGTCCCGACGAGCACTTTGCAGCTTGGTTCCTTGGGGGCGTTCTCGGCTCCGCCTAGGCTTTGGTGCGACCGAGTTGATCCAGTGAGCCCTGCGGTGAGTCCGTGTGTGACGAAGCCTGTTGAGGTGGGAGGTGCCGAGGGGCAGGAGGCCCCTCCCTCTTCTCTTACCTTTTCTCCGGCTATGGAGGAGGAGTCTGCGACGGTGGTCTCGGTTGGAGGTGACGGGTAGGAGGCCCGGCGCTCCGAGACGCCATCGCCGTCGGCGCCGAGGGTGAGCTCGGCGCTCCCTCCCTTGAGGCCGGCTGTTTGCGGAGGGGTGGTCGTGCAGGAGGCCGCCGCATCTCCTCCTGCCAGGACGCATCCTGCTTCGGAGGGCGGGTCGGGTGGCGTGGCCGTTTTGTCGCCACACTCCCCGGATCGCCCTAGGCTGGCCTCGCCGGTCTCGGGTCCTTTGGCCACTCCGGCTTTCGGCGGGACTTCCGTGGACAGGCCGCGGGAGTTGTCGTCGTCTTTTGGTGCTGCATCGGTGGTCCCGGCACGGGTCACCGCTGTTGGGGGACGGGTAGGAGGCCCTTCCCCTAGCAGAGCTTCACGCGAGGAGGTCATCGCCTTTGGTGGGATTCCGGATCCTGTCTCTGAGGGGAGGCGGATCAGCGGGAGGCTGCAGAAGCAGCCAGACGTTGATAACATGCAGCTGAGGTGTGCTATGAGGGCGGCCAACCTGCGTGACGTCGAGATGTCCACTGGCATGTCTGTTAATAAATCAAATTCAATTATGCATTTTACCAATGATGAGATTGTTCACAATGCAAATCAACTAGGAGTATCGCTTGGTAGTAATGATATGGAGATCTCTAGGTCAGTTAATGACATTCTTAATTTGGAAGCAGAACGAGCGTTGGAAATGATTCGTAACATAGCTGTCGTTAAACCTATGAATGAGTCAGAAATTGATGCGCTTGGGGTTAGGGCTCTTGATGGTTTGTGTGCCGATCTTGACCCTGCGTTACCGGAGACGAAGGAGGAGGAGGGGTTTGCCTATCTTGAGACCTCTAACCATGTAGATGAGTCTTTGGTGATTGCGGTAGAGCCCGAGTGTGGTGACCGATCTGAAGATCGCATGAAGCCTAAACGGACTTGGAAATGGAAGGTTTATCTAGTGTCGGTTGTGTGTAGAAGTGCTAGGATCCGTACCTCTAAAAATTTCATGATGAAATATGAGAGGCATTTTCTGGAATAGCAGAGGTCTTAAAGACTTGGCTAAAAGAAGGTTTCTAGCGGATGCTTCTCTTGATCATCATTTGGATTTTATTGCTTTGTCAGAGACTGGAAGAGACAACTTCACTTCACAATTTCTTAGCACTTTACCCGGGGGGGTAGACTTCGACTGGCATTGCCTACCCCCATGAGGAAGATCCGGTGGGGTTTTACTTGGGGTTAAGTGTGGGACTTTGGAAGTTCGGAGTGTAGTTTTGGGAGAGTTTGCGGTAAAGTTTCGGGTCAGAACTAAGGCCGATGGATTTGATTGGGCTTTGGTGGCGGTTTATGGCGACGCGCAACCAGAACTCAAACTAGATTTCTTGGCCGATCTGGTCCGTGTCTGCGGTGACGAGCAACTCCCTATATTAGTGGGGGTGAATTCAACATTATTCGAAGAAGGGTGGAAAAGAATAATGAGAATTTTGATGGCAGATGGTCGTTTATGTTCAATACCATCATTGAGAGCTTGGATCTCAGAGAGATAGAGCTCTCGGGTAGGAAATTCACTTGGGCTAACTCGTTACCGATACCGACTTTTGAGAAGCTTGATCGTGTTTTAGCTAGTGTCGAATGGGAACATAAGTTTCCCCTGGTAACAGTGCAGGCGTTGACACGAGGTATTTCAGATCACACGCCGTTACTAGTTGACTCGGGGGGCTCAAACACATGTGGGTAACAAGAATATTTTCTCGTTTGAACTTGCATGGTTTGAAAGAGAAGGGTTCCTTGAGTTGTTAGCTAGAGAGTGGGCTAAAGACTCAGGAGGAAGGTCACCCATTGAGCGATGGCAATGCAAGATTCGTCATCTTCGAAGGTTCCTTCGTGGATGGGCTAAGCATACGCATGGGATTTATAAGGCGGAGAAGGAACGACTCCTTCTACTTATTCAGACCCTAGAAGTTAAAGCTGAAACTTCTATTTTAGGTACCAGTGAGCTGGAAACTAAGATGGAGGCTGAGTTGCGGCTGAAAGAGCTCCTCCGCGAGGAGGAATTGAAGTGGGCGCTGCGAGCTAAGGTTCGCAAAATCATCCAAGGCGAGGATAACACTCAATTCTTCCATATGATTGCTAATGGGAAGAATCGTGAGAAGAGAATTTTCCAATTAGAACAAGACGAAGGAACGATAGTTGGTCAAGAAAACCTGAAAGTTTACATTACCAACTATTATAAGCAGTTGTTTGGACCTCCGGAAGAGAATTTTGTTTCTTTAGATGAGTCAAGGGTTGAGGATGTTCCTCAACTTGAGACTGACGAGAATGAGATTTTGACTGCTCCCTTTACGGAGAAAGAGGTGTTTGAGGCCATCACACAAATGAAATATAATAATGCTCCAGGACCGGATGGGTTTCCGGCGGAGTTTTATAAAAAAATGTTGGCACTTCATTAAGGGGGACCTGATGCCGCTGATGTTTCATGAGTTTTTTGCTGGACAGTTTCATTTGTTTAAGCTGAATTTTGGAACGATAACTCTTCTTCCTAAGAGGACAGAGGCCGTTCACATTGAGTAGTTCAGGCCTATATGTCTGCTTAATGTTAGTTTCAAAATCTTCACCAAGGTCGGGACAAACAGACTTACGCAGATTGCGCATTCTGTAGTGCAACCGTCCCAGACTGCTTTCATGCCAGATAGAAATATCCTTGAAGGGGTTGTCGTCTTGCATGAAACGCTCCATGAGATTCACTCAAAAAAACTAAATGATGTTGTTTTTAAAGTGGATTTTGAAAAAGCATACGATAAAGTTAAATGGCCTTTCCTTCAACAGGCTTTGCATATGAAAGGATTTGACCCGGCCTGGAGAAACCAGATTGAATCCTTTACGCAAAAAGGGAGTGTAGGGATTAAAGTGAATGACGACATAGGTCACTATTTCCAGACACACAAAGGGTTAAGGCAAGGAGATCCCATGTCACCGATCCCATTCAACATAGTGGTTGATATGCTGACCATTTTAATAGGACGGGCTAAGGATGCGAGGCATGTAGGTGGCCTTGTTCCGCATCTAGTTGATGGAGGTATCTCCATCCTTTAGTATGCTGATGATATTATCATCTTCATGGAGCACGACTTGGCGAAAGCGAGAAACATGAAGCTCGTGTTATGCTTATTTGAACAATTGTCCGAGCTAAAAATTAACTTCCACAAGAGCGAATTGTTCTGTTTTGGAAGAGCTAATGATGACCATGAGACTTATAAACAATTGTTCAGATGTGAATTGGGTACGTTAACGTTCACGTATCTAGGTATACCCATTCATCATCGTAAGCTGACTAACAAAGAGTGGAAATGCATTGAGGATCGTTTTGAGAAGAAACTGAGCTGTTGGAAAGGGAAGCTCATGTCATATGGAGGGCGATTAATTTTGATTAATTCGGTCCTCACAGGTATGCCTATGTTTCTCCTATCCTTTTTCGATGTCCCGGTGGGAGTCAGGAAGAGGCTAGACTTCTATCGAAAACGATTCTTTTGGCAGAGTGATGAGCTTAAATGAAAGTATAGGCTTGCTAAATGGGA